TTTCGTGTTTGGAATCTTAACTTGAAAGAAAAGGTTTTTTAAACCGGTTTTAATTTTGCTGAATGAGGAAAACAAAGTTTCAAAATTGCCGCCATTTTCGTTGTCAAGGAAGAGAAGCAGCTTAGCAACGCGATTTGGCCGCGCGCGCGCCTGGAACCTAATGTCGTAATTCAAACAGCCGTGATGCGTACATGGGGTGTAGGACGTTTGTCTGTCTTTGATTCTAGTTTGACTTGACTTTCAGCTTGGCGCCAGTATCTCCGTCGTCTTTCAGTATGTTGACTTGATGTTTGACTGGGCTGAGTGTGTTCGTGGAGAAGGAACTTAGAAATCGTCTTCGTTGTTGCTTTATGAGAGTTGCTAATAAGCCTGTGGCCCTTGTTCCATGATTGAATTGCAATTTGAGAAGTTGTTATTTTTTTCTTCTGAGAAGGGAGAAGACTTTTGCTTCCCCTTGGGATTCCCCTTTTTACAGAGTGAATAACTCTACCGAGATTCCATATCTGTCAAGCGAACACAGCTCAAAACTTGACTTCGAACTCTCAAGACTTCAACTGCTTGTACGCGAAACTTGCGATACAACAGTATATAGATAAGTGGATTCATGGCATGAGTGACGAAGTAAAGACCAGCGAAGACAGAAAACAACCAAGGCCACTCGATGTAAAGACTGAGCCAATACTGATAGAAAAAGACCCGGATAAGCTGCAAGAAATGGACAGGAAAGACGCAGAGCGCAAATACGACTACAATCACCACAAAGACACTAGCGATCTTCAGGACGCTGGTTCAGGACGTTTCTCCTGATTGCCCTGCGCAGCATGGAAATAATTTTGACATAGAGTACAGCGATGAATACTAAAGGACATAGGTAAAAGACTGCGAACTCGATGGGGTGGAGAAGCCTTTCGTATGACGGGTCGGGCCATACGATCTCGCACACATAGACAGGACTAGAGCCTTCTTCACTATCACCTTCTATTTCCAGAAGTTGTAAGTAAATCATCTGGGGGATGACGAGGATCAAGGCGGTTGCCCACACAAAAATAGTACCAATTACTTCCAAGGTCTTCGATACATGCAAATGGTATGTCACACGGTATCTTTCTACAGCGATCGCTACCATACTGCCGAGCGACGCGTAAACGCACAAATGCGTAAAGCTGAACACGAACTTGCACATCACCAAACCAAACGGCCATACCGACCCTAACAAATCGTAGACCATATAAAATGGAATGTAAAATAAAAGACTTCCTAAATCTGCTGTTGCCAGGCTAAGTACTAAACAGTTTGCCACATTGAAAGGGTTCTCAACGGTATTACGACTGCGACCAAACAACACTAGCACTAAAATATTTCCAGGAATTCCCGTAAGGAACAACACCGCGTAAGTAACTGCCAGGAATGTCAAGGTACCTGTACCGTAATTAGCGGTGTCCTCCATTACGTCCCAGTTACTGTGGTTCCAATCATCGAATCCATCACTCGAATTCTCGTCAGAAAACATCTGGAAATTAAGTTCTTGTTAACACCTCTAAGCTTCGCCGGAATCGTTTGTTTTCTCCGGATTCTCTTGGTCGAAATCTTCCTTACTGACAACTTTCGTCAACCAGGGTTACGTATTTGCACTCACTCATAGGACAAGCGCTTGGAAGCACATGCTGAAACGACGTTGAAAGATGACTCTTTATATTTCGTGTCACTGTGTTTTCGTTGATGGTATGTGTGTAGGAGGCTTTTATTTCCAAGGACTCAACAAAACGTGGATTTATAGCTGATAATATGAAAGCTGATAATTTGAAAGCATTTTACAATAGAGCCATTATTGCTAACCAAATGATTCTTAATTTATCCTACATTAGAATAAATTACACAATTAGACTAGGTTATTCGCTTTACTGCACCTAAGGAAAAAATGAAAGAAATAAATTAAAAAAAAAAAAAAAAAAAAAAAAAAAAAAAAAAAAAAAAAAAAGAAAGAAAAAAGAAAAAGAAAAAAACCTGAACGAAGTGAATAACCTATGGCCCTACCAAACGTGCTAATATTCCAGATATATACAAACCAGATATATATAGTTTCCATAATATACAGGAGACAGGAATGGATTTTGCAGCTGTAAAACTAGATTATGAACCGCCTCGTAAAGACTGATTTTTAATCGTTTTATTTAGAGGTATTAACACCTTAACATAACGGAACTGGATTCACAATCATCTACAATAGATAACTTAATAGAATTCGCTTTTCCAGACTATCATAATCCTCGGTTTCCTTCAGAGCCTAATGATTTGAATGATGGAGAAAGAAGCACGTACATCAAGAAAAAGCATGCAACGATAGATATAAAGGTTTGCGTAGATTGATTTAAAAAGTCGTAGTTTTCGCTTCTTTGCGTGGGATCCAGAGTCGACAAATGAGCGCGAAAACACCGACTTATTGAATCAGTCTAATTTTACAGCTGTAAAACGAGATTATGAACAGCCTCGTAAAGGCTGTTTTTTATTCCTTTTTATTTAAAGGTATTAAAACCTTAACATAAAGGAACTGGGCACACAATCTATACCATTGACAACATTAAACAACTACTTTTGCCAGACTATCGTTAATCCTCCATTTCCTCCAGAGCTGAAGCTTTAGATGATTTGAATGATGGAAAAAGAAGCACGTATTTCAAGAAAAATCATGCAATGAAGGAAATAACATATATTAAAATATGCGGTATTTGTAACGTAATTTCGGTTGTGACGAGAGGTAGTGATCTCATTTTTTCGCTGTTTTTTTTWATAATTTTATTTTTTTATTATCCCGCTGCCATAATTAAGATTTCTGTTTAAAAGACATTTCATTGAAGCATTTTTAAATACACGAATCATTTTCTAAACATAACAAAATTTTGCTTCGTGTTTTTGATACAAAAGACGCATTTTATTAAGACATTTTCCCGTTTTAATAGTGGGTACCGTCTTCAATGAATAAAGTTTAAAATGAAAGAAAAATCCTTCTCATTTCCGACATCTTTGGACGTGGTTATTCTAATAAAGACAAACAATCAAACCTTCAATCTCGAAAAGTCTATGCGGAAATATGTAGAAATTTTTGYATTTCTAGAAAAAAGTTCAAACTCACGCACGTTTTTTCCTAGTAATATCACTTACGATCTTTCAAGCCGTCATATTTTTGCAATGTTTGGCTGAGATAGAAATAGTGAAATTTAATCTTTACAAAAGATATATACAAAGATATGCAGTCAATGTCATTAATGTTGTCCACCGAAAAAAGATATTTACACATTTAGACTAAAAGATATATCGCGTGTTTCATTATGTACTCTTTGGCTTGTATGCGTCAGCCTGAACTTTAAATGTAAAATTCAACTCGTGAATCGAAAATCCAGAATGCCCTGACCATTTAGTGAGGATTTAAGATGGAGAATGGTATTTCAGCGTTTGTTTTATGCCAGAACCTTCGAGGAAACACGTGATATTTCTTTTAGTCTAAATGTATAAATGTGTAAATGTCTTTTTTTGGTGGACAACGTTAATGACATCGACTGTATATCGGTTCAAGTAGACAAATCAGAAAACATTTTAACGTTCATTTTCTAAACGAGGACTAGTCAGCGACTTACGTTTTTTAAACGAATATTCCAATTTCCATAGTAAATGAAAGGAAAAAAACTTAACCCAAATTAAAAATAAATATCAATCATCCGCTTTATTTGAAAACCAGGTGAACTCACGCTGTAAACAATTCAAGACTAGAAGGTGGGAAAAACATTCCGGGCAACGAAAAACGATGAGTCAATATTTTCCTTCAAGTTTTCAACCTCATATAATGAATGATTCATGATTCAACAAAGTATATCCCTTCTATGGTATTGGTTGGGATGCGTGATACTTTTAATGTCTTGCTTTGTTTTTCTTCGAGAAGTAATGAAGGAGTATCATCCTCGATCCGAAACAAATCGAAGTTGGTTAAGAGTACTTAACAACGCCTCGTTTTTTCAACTCGCTTCACTGGCCGGTTCTTGACTACAGCGCCTCACTACTATTGTACTTTTATCTCTAAACTATCTACTTCCAGGGAATAACGATGATGGCTGATTTTGAGGTTTCACAGTTTATTTGCTAATGAGCTTCAGCCCACGGGCTTAACATAGTTGGGATTTCTCCTTTCTGATGTGGTTTTGTTCAAACCCACATCCCTCCCCCTGTCGGGAAGCGATCAAGGAAAGTCTTGTGTACATTTACATACATAGTATGGCTATTTATATCTACAATATATGGATTGGATGACAGATGTAATCATTTGGCTTTTTTCCCCCTTTGAGAAACGAAAGAAACTTGTAAAAACCCATGACAGACAACCATGGAGTTAATAGAAGTCGTTTCTCAAGTAAAACATTTCTAGTCGATCTACCACGAAGTTCGTAGTCAGTATTTTTATCAGTCAATCTTTTATTTTGGGGTGAAATGAAATCTTTACGCTAGTCAAAATGTTTTCCCATTTCAAATCTAATGAGAATACTAGTAAGATTCGTTGTTAGCGTAACATCAATATTGATGTATATTCCCGGGTGATTCTGGAAACAAATGATCTTATTGTTTGAGAGAATGACGGGGTCTACACTAGATCGCTTTACCTTGGGTGTAAGGTTTTCCCATTCCACGCCACGCGTCATTCCCTAGAGTATCATTTCTTTGTTTAACGGCTGAGCATCAGAAGACATATGAATATGGATACAACTCTAACAAAGAATATTATTCTCAAAAGAATGACACTAGATCTAAAATGGGAAAAGATTACACACGCGGTAAAGAGATCTATAGGACAACCTCAAACCCAAAGTAAAAGGGAATATTATTTCAGATGGAATAGTGAGACTGAATGTAGGGATATGCATTGAGTCTCGTGGTATGTCAGGTTTGTTATAAGGTACAACCTCCCTCTAATATTCAGAAGAATGGATGTAGCTTTTGAATAAATTATGGTTAGTGTGAGGCCGACAAGAAAAGACAGACAGAGATAGAAACAGAGAGACAACCACATAGCTGGACAGACAGACAAGTATATAGAGACAGACACTGAGACAGATAGAAAAACAAGCCAACAAACAAAAAGTCTTACAAAAGAAAAACATTCTCACTTTTGCTTTTCCCATTTGCCTCCTTTTCAAAATAACTTATTATTTCAAAGTTGCCACCGAGTTTGGAAAATTCTACACCACAAATAGATTGTCCCATTTTTTTAAATATGACATAATATCGGTGATACTATCGAGTGAAATGATCTCTCATTTCTCATATTCATTGCAGATGATTTTAGGACATTAGCCTCTAAAGATGTCAACAGGAAATAATAACGAATTATTACAAGGACCAGTAATATTCTGCTATTTGGTGAAACTATTCGTACCTACCCTCCCCTCCCTTGGTAATTTAAGAATCTGTCCCATCCAATTTAATTAACCCATGAAAACAACAAATATGACAAAGAATATGATCAGAACAAGGAAGATCTTAATAATGAGCCAGCGATTGGAACTAACTGACTGGAAGTACTTGAGGATTTCTCCATGTGCTGCTTCAACGTTCATCTCTGTTGTTTCCACATTTGCATCAATTCTAGTTAAAACACAAATGAATGAATGAACAAATGGGGGAATTTTCTCCTGTCATGAAATCACTTAGAATTAGAATTTGCGTGTGAAAAGCAAAGCACATCTCTGAAATCTCTATTAAAAGAATATAATATATTGTGAGAAAATCAGTCCTCACCTTTGTATCTGTTCTTCTTGTTCTTTGACCATGTTAGCAAGTTGAGAGAATATACTTCCAAGTTCAACAATGGTTGATTCTATACTTTGCATAGCATTTGCTCTACTGCTTATGTAAGTATCCTGTTAAATGATGGTGACATTATACAATTTAACTTGAAGTACACTTGCCCCTTATCTCTGGGGTCTTGGATTTTATTTGTGGATTCATCAGGTATGTAAAGTTTGTTAATCTYTCCCTTAGTGTTTTTCTCTGGGTTATCTGGCTAACAAACTTGTAGCCCTCATGACAGTATTTGGAATTTAAAAGTTGATTATTGCAGGAGGAAAACTGTTGAACCCAGAGAAAAACCCTTGAATCAAGGGAGAGACCTAACAAACTCTACTCACATTTAATACAGAGTCTGGGAATCCAACCTGGGTTGCATTGGTAAGAGATACCCATACTTTGCTATTTGTGAGTTAGCCATACCCTTTCAACTCCCAGAGCTTGTTTCAATACAATTTGGGTATCAATACAATTTGAGTGTTAAATAGAAAGAAGGATTCAAGGTTAACATCATAGTACATGCAACCACCACTCCCTGTAGTAACTGGCCCATCTGTGGGGTTTGATCCATGCACACTACTACTACAATCACTATTTACAATGCTCAACTCACATTTTAATAAAACAATTTTAATAAAATATTATATAAAGCTGTATAGATGACAGACAAGACCAACCTGTTCTTCAAAAGCTTGCATCTGGTTCATTTCATTCATTAGTGGGGAGTGTTCACTGCCACCCATGTCAATTGCTACATGATCTGCCCCTCCCTTCATAACTCCATTGCCTCGTGCATTGGATCGTTGTAGAACTAAAAATATGAAATTTTGAAATATTCATTGGCTTAGTAGTACAAAAGTCAGCATAATCTTTTGAGATTCGATGTACAGTATGCATTGGTAGATGGAAATGTGGATGGAGGAATGGGCAGATAGATAGGTGTATAAATGGGTGGATGGAGCATCTAATTGGTGTATAGGTATGACAGCTTATTGGTTGATGGATGAATGAATGGATGGATGAATGAATGGGTGGATAAGAGGATGAATGGAAGAATGGATGGATGCATGAA